TCTATGTAAGATCTTATGAAATTCTGGAGGTAACTAATAACTATGATTACAGTGAACAAGGAAGTGCTTATTTGAGAGAGAAATTTATTAATTAGGTGACTTAAGTATATGTGCTTTGATTTGTTGATATAATTATTACTTGGTTAGTATAGTGATATTGAAAAGTGCATATGTTTTTAGTTATGAGGAAGGAATTTATCCTTATTAATATTTTCAAGAAACAAGGATAACAGACCCTCAAAGACTTGTTAAGTTGCCTGAGTTGATAATTAGTAGTAGACTTAATTATGTATTCAAGGATTGACAGCGGCTTTGCCGTTGTAAATTTGTTGTAAATAGTATTGATTGAATTGGTTACGTATTTACTCTAAAAATGACAATAGAGTATAATGTCCCTTTTGAGTATCCTATTAATGGTAGGATCCACCATACCTTTTGTTTATACATATACAGAGGTTTGGTCAGGACACCAGATACAATGAATTATGTTTATACTTTCTTGGATAATGACTACCATAGAAGAACAATCTAGTTTACCTCAGCACGGGTGACTAGCACTGAGGTTGTGGCCGACACCAGAGATCTTGGAGAGGATGAAGACCTGACTGTGGAGGAGCTAGTTGAGATAGAAAGCTAGCACAATGATGAAGACTAGGGTCATAGTCTCAATAATTTGGATACGGGTGATATGCTCATTAGATCTTAGTGTATTTTGATTTTGTAAATTTATAAATTAAGTCCTAATGTATTTTGGATCAATATTTGTACATATAAACCTTTGTATTTAAATGATAAATATATGCACTTATTTAACTATTGTTCCAATGTAAATTTATTTAACAAATCATGGTTATTCTTTTATTACTTTATATGCTTTTGTATTTTTGTGAATTGAATAATGAAAGAAAAGTTTTAATTTGGTCAAGTTCTTAAATTTCATAAGGAAATTAGGGACATTAAACAATACTTGTATTATAATCACATTAATCAATCTGTTATAACTCATCTATTACAATCACAAATCTCACAATTTCTTAATCATTGCCTCTAAGATTCCTTGAAGTCTTATATAAGTATAAATAGTTGTCAGTTAGCCCAAACAACACAAATATAATGTGTGCCCTCGGTCCCTTTCAACAAAGGTATAGTAAGGAGTATAGTCAGGAAAAGAGTGTGTGGCCTATGATATTTTCACTTTCAGCAAATCCTTGTGCACCCACTTAAGAATAGTAATCACCTTCCTCATTTCTCCAAGATTTCCTAAATCGTCTTTGAACTTTATACCCCCAATATGTCTATGTAATTATCTATACACAGTCTCAACATTTCTCATGACATTCACTTACTTAGCATTTTCACATTACATACAATTTATCAATATTTCTCTTTTTATTTTGATAACATAAACAACTTTAATTTCTCATACATACCCATTCACATCAGTCCTTTATTCATAAATTTTTAATTATAAAATATTTTATCATTTGAGGGCAGTCAAACACTTTTTATCAATAATATGAATTCGCCAATTTCAACACACATTAACTATCAGACAAAATTCATACTCATTGTAAAATATCATTACAGTACAAATAAATCATTCATCAAATTCACAGCATACAAATCATTAAAATATGTCAAATGTTAGACACCTTCGAACTCAAATTAGTCGCGCTGTTTAACATACATTGAACTAAACCACAGATACATTTCCGGAGATCACACTCTCTCGATCTTTTTATACAAATTGTCTATCCTAGAGTTTAGCATCTTCAATCATATATTGTTCAGAATCATAATCCAACATTAACTGTAAATATATTAATATTAAAATCATAAACTTTCTTAAAAACTTGGGTTGCTCATAACTTCTGCTATAAAAATATCATCTAGGTAATTTTGGAAATAGATCATCAGGTTTTCATGCTTAAAATCCCATTCATAACACTGAGGTTTTAAGAAAATATTAGAGTTCTATGATTCAAAATAAGAAACAAGTGGAGGTTTTAAAGCAAAACACATAAATAGGAGTTAGGGTTTGGGATCAACTCTCTTTACCTGGAAATAGGTCTCTGAGATTACGTTCTCCTTGAGATCCAAAGAAGAGGTACAATGCTTCTGATTGAAGATTTTGTCTTAAAGATTGAGATTTCCTTGAGTACTACAAAGTAGGAAACTTTAGACAAAGAGAAAACAAAGGAGATGTGAGGAAAGTTTGATAACTAAACTCTGAGAAACTTACTTGGAATTGAGTAGAATAGGCATTCTGAATCTAGAAGAAGTTTGGGTTTAGGAGAGTTTTCTCTAGAAAAGGGAGGTGAGAGAACAAAGAGAAATGAGAAGAGAGGTTATTTGATTCTAAATAATTTTTTTTAAATGTGAAGTCCCTTAAATGTCCCTTTAAACCTGTGTATTCTTGCTTGCACAAGGTCAACTCTCGCTTGGGCGAGACTCTCCTTGCTTAGGCAAGAAAATCAGACAATGATTTTACCCAGTTTTTTTATGTTATCACCTAAGCGAGAATGAATCTAGAGAACTCTCCATTTTTCTAAGATTTCTTACTTGGGCAAGAGGACAATTGGAAAGATATTATTTTCTTTCTCTTGAGCAAGACTCATCTTGCTTGAGAGAGAGTGTTTCAGAATGTTTGGTCTAAAAAAACTCTCTCTCGTCTGAGAGAGACATATCTCGCTTGAGTGAGAAACTCTGTATAAAATCTCTATTTTTTCTAAAAATAAAGATAATAAAATTAAGAGTGTTACACTCTTGACATGCAAAACACTAATGAATTACTGATGCAACAAAAATAAAATGAAACAATTAATTAAATATTTTTAAATTATCTTATTTTTATATCTATAATTTTTTTTAATTATTAAATTAACTCCTGTCCAATGGGAGTGAGCTTTTGCTCTAGATCTCGGGTTGTAGCATTGTTAGGAGATTGTTTCTTACATCACATTTTTTCTCTGTAATTATAATTTTACATGCTATTTTGTTTCTTTTTCTTTTTCTTCAGAATCTTAAATACTGAATTTTTTAAGTTTTTTTATAAAATAGGATTTTGACAACAGAGAAAGAATTTATTGTAAATATCTAATAATTTAATATTTTAACTTTTAAAATAATTAAAAAAATAAAATATAAATATTATAATTTTTACCACTTGTGCTTGCAAGTCATTTCACTTACCCATGGATGAGTGAAATCAAAAGTTAACAAACATGTAAGAAAAAGCCTAACGATGAGATTAATCTTTATTTTTCTAGCATTAAAGAAATCAAACATTCACTCTTTGTATCCTCTTCTTGCTAGTCATTTAGGAGAGAAAAATGGATTGGATCATCTTCGGTTAACGCTCAACTTGGATATCTAATTTTATTTTTGTTTAAATAAATTTTAATTTACTTTAAAAAATTGCTTAAAATATTTAATTAAGCAAATGTAAGTGTGCAACTCAACATTTTTATAACATTGAACCTTTATATTTTTTTCTTAATAAAATTAGATATCTAAATTCCGCTTTAACCAGAGAGAATTCTAATAAAGAAAATATATGAATTCTATGAGAGCATTAATGCACGTTAGCTAATGTGGCTAGTGTATCTAAATATATGAATTCTATGAGAGCATTAATGCACCGCATAAATATGCGCACACCAAGAGCAAAATCGTATGATTTATTTATTTTACTTTCTTTCTTTATTTTATTGGCTTTGTATTTTTTTCTCATACTTTAATGTATGCATAATTTTAATTATCCATATTTAATTTTTCCAGTTTTCAAATTGTTCAACTAATTTCATTACCAAAAAATCTTATATAGTAATTAAAAATATAATAAAGACATAACATATTATTGATTAGTATAAATTAATAAAGAAAAAATAAAATAATTTTAAAAAATAATAAATAAAATGTATAAAATATAATAATATTATTTTTATCATAATTTTTATAGTACTTTATACAAAACAATGATATATCACATCTTTGTTATATTTTGTTAATTATCAAATAAAAGTTTGATGTAGACTTAATTGTAACAATAAAACTATGATGATTATAATGAGAACATTAAAATTGGAGGGACTAAAATCACAACTAAGCTAAAATAAGAAGATTAAAATTGCACCTGGAATTAAGTAAATAAATGATGCGTGCATAAATTCTTATTTTCATTCTTCAGAAGCTTAAGCTATGTCAAATTAAGTAGATTCCCCCTCTTGCATAACCAATATAAATCAGTACCCTTCCAAAATCCAACCAGCAACATTTAAAATTCAACTTGATTAAACTTATTCAATTTCTCGTATGATAAGAATTACAATGCAGGCAAAAACAAATCTTTTTTTTTTTCTCTAGTAATTTTATCCAAATAATGAATTTAAGATTCAAACAAAAAAAACATGTAGAGTAGAGTGTAGCGATCATAACACACGTTATGGAAACACAGTGCTAAATTATAAGACTCTTAACGATTTCTTGAAATCAAGAAATTGCTTGGGGACTATTATGTTTGGAAATACATTTTAATGGGTTTTCTTTTTATTTTTTATTTTCAAAAGTTTATATAGAAAAACAATAAATTTTTGAATTATTTTTACTGTTTCCAATACAAAATTTCAAAAACGATAAACAAAATAAGAACAATGACGTTTTTATAATTAATAAAAAAAAATTCTTTCTTAAACTAAATTATCTTAGTTTTCATCGCAAAATTTGTCCCATTAAAAGATAAGTTGACATATTTAGAAGATAACTATTCTAATAATATATAAAAAAAAACCCTAAAAAATCGCTTAAAACTAATTTATTCTAGCAACAGTGTTTGATATGATAGAATATAAACTGCTTACAACACTTGCAAGATCAAAAGCTTAATTACGTTTAACCATAATTGAAGGTTGTAACCGAAACCTTTAGGAAAAAATCTTATTATATTCAATACTTGATTGATGACAATACTCTTGGTTTTACAATACTAGCAAAGATCTAAGCCTGGCATGTTTAACTGCTCAACCCGTAATCGGATAAAATTTCATATGATGGATAAGTCAATGGTTACACCATGAAAAACATTACTACTGTCAAAAACTAAATAAAAGGCACTGACCCAAATCAAATATCATTCTCAATAATCAATGTACCAGATCAAATCAAATGACTTCACTTATCGCGGAGGTGGAGGAGGAGGTGGTGGCAGGTTTGATTTTGCAAATCCTACCCATGCAACAATGCCAACAGCCAGAATTATCCATCCAAATATGTCATACTTAAGGTCACTGCTCTTCTTTTTCTTTTGAGTCTGAAAATTAAGCACATAAATTAGGTGAAAAAAAATGAACACAACTGCAGTTGGGAAATCCGAATCTACATCTACGTTTTAGTATATCTTCAACGAGATTTTTGTAGAACAGACGAAGACATGCTTATATATAAAACAGATATTATAAATAACTTAACAGTCCAAGATTTAACCCTAAACAGACAGAAGAAGCATTTATCTCAATAACAAACCAACAAAGCAGAAAGATTAGTTCTTTTTTCTTTTTTTATTATACGAATAAACATATTATCTCCTTCAAAGGGAAAATTCTGCAAGAAATTAATCCAATCTTTCTCAAAGCCACTGTTCTAAGATATACAAAGTCAACTTGGCAGAGTCCAGGACTCATGGTAGAACCTGAGTTCACCTGATGACATTTGTTTCTTCACAACAAAAAATGAATTTATCATAGAAGAAAAATAACATTTAAAACCATTAAAGACACAACACATTACAGTCAACAACGTATAAACTCACTCCTTTGTTTCACGGCAAGAACACTCCCTGAATGTGTCCTCAATCAGAGAACATCGCATGTATGGAAGATGATTTAAACTTAAATTACTAAATCTCAGGGTAAAAACAATTCATTAACCACGACTTAACATATATACTATGTGTGCATATAGTCAAGAGGAAGTTATACAAATGATTAACTACAAAAAGCTGTACAAAATAATACCAAGGTAAAGACAAACTACAAATTACCTTTGTACCCGAAGAAGTAGAAGGCCCAGCTGTCGCTGCTGACTGCTGCTGCTGACCAAATCCATGCTTATGAATTTCTACATGCAGCTCAGGAGCCTGAAAAAATGATATTAGTAATTTTCCCAGTAGCCATTTTCAGAACAAATAGATCAACATTCTTTATATGTAACAAGAAAAATTACTCTAGCAAGAAAGAGAACACAAGGGGAGAGGATAAGGTACCATCCAAAAACAGCAAACGACAGGAATAGAAAGAAATATGAAAAAGGAACAGATCAGCTTCAAAGAATAGCCTAAGTCCTTTGTGAAACAAACCCCAATTCTTGACCCATGGCAAGGCCACGCACAGAAATCAGTTGACCAGCAGCACCAAAAGGATCATAATTATCAATTTCATACATGTGTAGTAGTCAGCCTAAGAAATGCTATACCAGAATAGCAGAAACGGGACAGATAAACGTTATCAAAATTTCAGAAGAGTGTTTAAAAGGTTATAAGATACAAATGAGAAAATATTTAAAATACCCAAGAAAAAAAAAATTCATATTTCATACTTAGTAATCAAAATTCCAAAGTCATTGTAACAACTAAACGTTCAAACTTTCCATATCTTAAACATTCAATAAAAGTATTTCTCTAATCAGAATATGTATCTTCAAGATAATTCTCAGTCTTTTCATTGTCATTCCCTCACAACTAGATTTGTAGATGCGTTCTTCCTCCTCAAAGTTTCTAGTTTTCTACATCATCTTCCTCTTCATCTTGTACAACTCCCTTTCCCTTCCTAGTGCTAGCAGCAGCTTTTTTCAATCTTGTTTGCTGCCTAGTGAAGGTTGCAGGTTCACCAGCTCCAATAACATTAGCAACAATTTCAACACGTTAAAAGTATTCAAAGAAAGTGATAAAGAATAAGAAGTGGTGACCTTGGCCAGAAAATGCCCAGAAGGCAGAAGAAAGAGGCAAACAGAGGAAGTAAAAATGATACAAGGGAGAGGATGGTCTGAGTTCTTCAAACCCTATTTTGAGACCAAAATAACCAAAAAACTAAGAAAATGGAAGGGAACAATAAAAATTAGGGGCATTTTGAGGTTTTTCAGGCAGAGTGAGATAGCAGCCACCAAAACCACATAATGGTCTGCTATTGACTGTAATCGTGGCCATGGGCATGATTCACCATGACAGAGAATAAGGCAACCTTCTTAACATGGAGGCCGATCAAAAAGTTTGACACACATTCTTTCCTTGTGCATGTATATGTATATAACGGTCAGTTTTCAAAATTTGGATGCTAAGGACCCAACTTGTGTAAGAGACACAACCCTGTTGTTCAAGATTTGTGCATATAACAGGAAAACTGTGATTACAATGTTGATATGACTCTCATCCCAAAACAATTCTGTGTGATCTATAATGGCAGCTTTTTGAAGCAGATCAAATTGCATGAATAGAATCAAAATTGATGCAATTCTGACTAGCAAGGTGGTATTCGCAATCCACAAGTGAAGGCAGTTTCATAATCCGTACAAAAATACAGATATCAGAACCATTTTACAAATCACCGCACAGAATTTGCAGGGCTCAAAACTCAGTGTTGTAAAAGCATTGAGATAAAAAAAAGATAAAGTACAAGAAAAATTTGAAAATCCAAATATCACTTGTAGTTTTCCCAACTGATACACAAAACAGAAGAAAAAGCATATGATGACCATACCAAACATAATTGCAACAGCCGTTTCTATATTGTAGCTTCCTAACAAAAAAAATAAAAATAAAAAAAACAGATAACAAGGGGTCATTTACACAATATGATACAAAACCATTACAATGCATAACATACCTTGGCAGTCACTTCCAATGATTTGCGGTAAAGTTCATTTGAAGGATCCTATATAAAACAAAACTACTCTGTTACACATTTGTCTTACAATACTTCCCACAACAAATCACCATGACTGCATTGACTCCAAACCAAAAACTGTACCTCATCAACAGCTTGCTGAAAGTAAACAGCTGCCTTATCAAAATAAACTTTTGCCTCCTCCTGATCCGGAATCAAAAACGCTTGCGAAGTGTAAGCATTTCCCAGGCACCAAAGTGTGTCATGCTTCTTGGGATTCACCACAAGCGCCTCCTCAAGCTTTGAAACAGCCTCTTCAAATCCACAGAACACAAGAAAATTCAAAATCAAATGTTTAGGAATGACCACCACATCATTACATGATCAACTCACCATTCTCTACACCTTCCATGAGTCTAAAAAATAAATAAAAATAATCACCTCTAATTCACCAATCCCAAGCTCAAACAAAAAACCCAGAAATCATTATTTAAAAAGAAAAAAACTTTTTAAACAAACAAACAAATAACCCCAAACCATACAGAATTAGTAGCACCTTGAGTCATCTTTTTTGATTCGGAAAAGCTCTGAAACTGAGACAACTCCAATAAAGCTCCTCCCCATCTTGTTAAGTTCTGCAGAGATTACATAATAAAACGTATAATTATTTCAAAATTTGCAATATACATTAACATAAGTAAAATAATAAAAATAGATCAATTGGGAAAATAATAATGGAGCGATCCTAGGAAAGAAAGTATTGAGAGTGAGAAGAAAAGAAAACGAACATCGGCATCGAGAGGGTTCTTGACGTATTCGGCTTCTGCAGTCTTACGAGCATGCTCGAAGAACACGAGGCGATCGAACTCGCTCTGTTGCAAGTCCATGATTTTCTCAGATTTTTGTTTGCTTTTTAGTTTTAGGGTTTTGGGTTTTTGAAGGTAAAATCTACCTTCCTCTCAGTTCCGTGACTACTTACCAACGAGGAGACACAAAGGGAATAGGGTATTAGAGGTTAAGCTCTTCTTAGGGTGAAAATAATAATTTTGTACGGAAAGATCTTTCTCATGCTAATTTAAATCTAAATATTTCTTATATTTGATTTATTTTTTATTTTTTTTATTTAATTTATATATAATAATATATAAAATACTAATTATATGTAAATAAAATAAAAAATTTAAATTAAATATAAGAGTTTTTAGACTTATATTAGTATGAATAAATTATGTTCCATTTTATATATGTTAAAATAAACTTATTTTTAAGTAAATATCACTTTGATTTCAATGAGTTAATTTTTTATGTTCTTTTTTACTTGTTACTATTTTAGAAAATTTTAGTGTTTTTTTTATTTTAGAAATTTTAGAAAATATTTAATATTTTTATTTTTTATAAAATTTAAAATTATTTTGCACATTTATTATAAGATGAATAATTAATTATTTGCAAAATTCAAAAAATAATGAAATTAAATAAAAAAATTCATAACCTACCTTCACATTAATTTATAAGAAACTTTTTTTTAATATTAAGAGTTAAAAATTAATAATATTAATAAATGTAAAAAGAGGTAAATTAGTTAGAAAAAGGAAAAAATTAAAATTAAATAACATTGCTTTTTTTTTTGTAAAGAGAAAAAAATAAATAAATTATAATGTATGTAAATTATTTAGAATTAAAAATTTGATCAATTATTTAGAGTTTAAATAATATTTTTAATAAAAATATTAAATACGCTAATTTAACCTTACAAATAAAATAATATGAGAAAAATTTTATATAAGATGATAAATATGTAGAACATATTTTAAAAGAGACTAGTATTAATTATAAAACTTAAAATGTTGCTTTTTTAAAATTATGTAAAAATAAAAAGGAATGGAAGAGAATAACATTACCAAAAACATGTAAATTATAGAAGGATTTATTGGAAAATTTTTGAAAGATTACCAACAAATTTCATATTTACAAATAGAATAGACTTGTTTGTAATTTTTTTTTTAGTAAATCAATACAAATAAATTTTTCTGTTTGTAATTTACAAGTGAATTTTTTCATCTGTAACTTATAGATAATTTTTTTTCTATTTGTAATATTTAATTTTGTTTTTTTTTCTTTTGCTTACTTGTATAATTATTCCTAATTATCATAATAATTTGTAAGCATAAAGAAAATTATAAAATCAAAAATTAAAATTTAAAAATTTATTTTAAAAATGTTAAATTAAAATATCATTACAATTCAAGAAGTAAACATCCAAAGTAATAAAGTAAAAAATAAAATAACAATATCTATCACAAATACTTAGTGTGATCATCGTCAAGAACAATGTCATCATCATCACTAGAGGAGGAGGATGAATGTCACATCAGTCCAAATACTGATGGTGCTAAAGTTGGTCGAGGAGGAGGAAGAGATGTGGAGTTGCTCGCTCTCATGAGCTCGAAGCATGCATGCATCTGTTGCATTTGGATATGCTGCAAATCCCTCTGCATCATTGATGCTACCTTTTTCTCTATCTTCTTCTCTATTTTTTTTGTTTACTTCTTTTTTCATGTACTCTCTTGGTCTTCCATGTCTCCTCATTTTGCTTCTGGAGTCTTTATTAAGAGCATGGACTTAAGTGTGAACCATGTCCTCAACTACCTTAGGTGCAAGAAAAGGGGTATCTCTAGTGATAGATGCAAGCGACATCGAGTCCACAAAGTGGCTCCCCATGCCATAATACGGTCTTTATAAAAGCTACCTACTGTCTCTGACCACATTGTGTCATCATTAATAAACTCTGGATTCTCAATAGATGCAGCCTCCAACCTTTGAACATAGTCATACTATATGGACTATGTGCGCTATGTAAAGGAGATAGTGAGGCAGACATAGTCAACGATGGATATTGTGAAACTCATTGTATTTGATGCAAGGAGGCACATACCTAGGGTTAGGCACAATGATGAATTGTTCTTCCCTCCCCCCAACCTGGGAGGTTCGCATTGCAAAGAAGTGCTACTATGAGCAGGACGTTGAGCAATACCTTTCTTACCTTTACCTACCATACTTTAATCAAACTAAATACAAATACATACTACTATATGAACATATTTTATTTTATATTAAATAAATTTCTAATATAAATTTTAGCAGAATCTCCCATAATGTATAAATATTTCCTTAATTACGTATGTTAACACCTAATACAAAAAGTAAGCATTTCTTTCACATATAATCTATATTATATAAAAATATATTAATAAATAAATCATAAATATACGCATCACAATCCTAAAACAGTTCTAGAATGCATCTCCTTATAACTCCACAACATATATATTTTACAATTTCTGCAAACACAAACAGTCACACAACAAATAATAATTAGGTTCAGAGAAGGATCTTTACGCCCATCTCCCAGTCATACAATCTCCAATTCTACAATTCTATCTTAGAAATCATAAATCTTTATTTTACATTAAAAATTAAATCAATTAAAAGTTAGAGTATCGAACTAGGAACACAAGGGTGCAATTTGTTTTTTAAATGGATGCTTCAACCACTAAAAATGAGCAAAGAATTGATGATAGAGAGAGGGAGAGATGAGAGAGAGACATGGAATAATGGAAAATAAGGAGGAAGAAGAAGGGAAGACGTGATTTCGATCTATTTGTCACCTTATAGATGAATTTTTCTATTTGTAAAACTGGTTTAATGAAACTTCTGTAGTCTGTAAATAACTATATGAAAGGTTAGAAATATGTTCTAAAATATAGACAAATTTTTTTATATATAATTCTTACTCAATATTTTGAGCCTCAATTTCAAATTATAGACATGTTTTCCCTCTATAATGTCAATTTGTGATGTTACGAGTCAAATGACAGGCCGTTTGCAAATGGATTTTTTGAGAAAATAAAAAATTTTAAATTTTTTAACTTACTATGTGTAAAATTTGTTTATAAACAGTGTGTTTATAGTAGTATAAGATAGTTGGTATTAATATTTTCTTTTTAAAAAAATAATACTTTCTTTAATGTAATTTTGTGTAAGATTTAAATAATTTTAAAAATGATTTAATTTATAAAATAGTTACGGCTCTTAAGCATAACGATAGAAATTTGATACATGATTGAGTATATAAAAAAATTATATGAATAATCATACATTTAAAAAAAAATTTCATTAATAGATCTAGGTTTAGTTAAATTTAATACAAGTTTAATTAAGATAATTAAAATAATGATAAAATATTAAATAAAGTGTGTGACTAACAAAACTTTAAATGCAATATTTTTTTTTATAAAAACTCTAATAAATCAACAACTTAAGTAAAGAAGGACTCAACATCAATTTATTCAATTTAAATTAAGTGAATCAACTTGTACTTTATTCTCTTTATTCCAGTTGATTGGATTTACAAATTATATTATTATAAATTGATATAAAGCTTATAAACTATATACTATTTTATTCAAATATTTTTAATAATTTAAAATAGTTTAATGATAATTTGAAATATTTTTTATTTATTTTTTATTTTAGAAAATAAATTATAATGAAATCTATAAAAGAAATATAAAGACATGGATTTAGTAATTTGAAAAATAATTTTATATCAATTTAAATATTAAAAAATTACAATATATAATAAATTCTTTAAATTACATCTAAACAGTCATTTAATTAAGTTATAAATCAAAATAATCTTTATATATATACATATATATGACTTAATTATATTTTTTGTCGCTATAAATGTTGATTATTTTGTGATAAGTCTTTATAAAAATTTTATTCGGATTTAGTTCCTGTAAAATTGAAAAATTAGAATTTAGTCCATACCCTTAACTCTTTCTTTGTTAAGTGATGAGCTAGCTGACAGAAAGTCAGCTCAACACTCAACGTGTCTATCTCGAGGCCTATGTGGCATGCCATCATCATTCTTCACAATATTATCATTATTTGACCGACTTCTTATTTCCTTACACTTGCTTCTTGGCATTCCCCATGCCAACATTATTTAACCACTTTAAATCTTTATCTCCATCTTAATAATAAGTATTGTGTGAGGGTGGGAGTTGGAGTTAGGATTGGGTCGAGTGGTGTGGTAAGGTGAGATAGCTTGAAAAGAGAGGTTGCGAGGTGGGGTAACAGTTTAGGGGAGGGGGAGGGGTTGCGGTTTAGGAGAAAGGGTGGTAAAGATGAGAGTGTAGGAGTGTGGGGTGGGAGAAGAGAAAGGGAAAAAGGGAAGAAGTAGGAGTATAAAGAGGAGGAAGGGAAGAGGTTATGGTTGTGGTTGTGGGTGTGGGGTGGAGGGGGAGGGATGTGAGGAGGAGGAAGGGAAGGGGTGGAGGTAGAGTGGTTATGGGAAAAGGGAGGGGGAACGCACAAAACTTGAAATTGTGTGTGTGTGGGAGAGAGAAAAAGATAAGGAATCATTAAGACTATTCTATCATCGGAGACCATGAACATCCCCAGTAGGGTGAGCATCAAGGTCCACACCAAAGTCATTGAGGTTGAAGGTTCATTTATGGAAATTCTTAAAACCATTCTCATTTATGGAAGAGTGTGCTTTCAATTTGGCCTCTTTTTTTTTTTTTTTTCTAAAAGTCTCAGATGAATTATTGGGGATCAGATGACCATTTGGTTTTGGGAGGATAATTGGGTTCAAGATCATCACAATCTCTCCAATTATGCTTTAAAACTCATTGCCGAGCAGGTTTTGAATGAGCCTCTGGCCATGATTACCACCTAAGGGAAGTGGAATTGGCCTAATATTAGATCTATCCTTCCTACTTCTATCTGTGATTCTATTGCTCAGCTTTCTCCTTGTTTGGATAGGAGTTCAGGACCTCTTTTTCTAGAAACTCTCAAGCAATGGCATTTTTTTCTATAAAATCTACTTATCACTCAATAAATAATGCTAAGGAACCTAGGGAAAGACATAATGATATTTTTAAACTTATCTGGGACTAGAAAGGTCTACCTAAAGTTTCTATTTTTTTTGTGAAAAGTAGGCCATGGAAAGCTTTTAACTAATGATGAGAGGTGCCTACGAGGCATGGCTGATTCCTCTCTCTGTTCTAGATGTAGGAAGGATGCTGAAACTGTTATCCATGTCCTTCGGGACTGTAGTTTTGCTAAAAAAAGTATAGGACCAACTTCTCCCTCTAATTTTTGGATCCCCTTCTTTAGCACAAGCCGCCTAAATAGCTGGTTGGGTTTCGACTTGACTAAACAAAATTTTTCCTCTTATCCTCTTTGGAATAATCTGTTTGGTTTTGTAATTTGGAATTTATGGAGAAATAGGAATAACTATATTTTCCAAAATTCTCCTATTAATATTGTTTCATTAGTCTATAAAATTCTATATGATTTTGAATTTTATCTTTCTTGTGACAGGGAACATAAAAAAGCTAGTGCAAATATTATGGACACCTAAAGTTTTGTTAAATGGCACCCTCCTATTAACAATCAACTTAAGGTTAATATGGATGAAGCTGTCTCCTTTTCTTTTGGATTAGTTAGCTATGGTGGGCTCATTAGTGATAGTCAGGGCAGTTTTGTGGCTGGTTTCTATAATTCCTTAGCTTTTTATATCTCTTTAATTGTAAACTCTGGGGTATCTACTGGGGCCTCAAGCTTGTTATTTCGCAGAATATTCAGCTAATTTAGGTTGAATGTGATTCTAGAGAGACAATTTCTTTAATTGTAAATTACTCCAATAACAATCATTTGTGTTTCTCTATAGTAAGGGAGATTAGGTAAATGCTAAAAGGCATCAAATTCATTAGGTTTAACCATGTCCTTAGAGAAATCAATCAATTTGCTGACTGGTTGGCAAAAGTTAAGGTAGATTATGGGGAAGTTTTTTTCCCTATTTTGATAAGGCTCCTTCTACCTTAATTCCTTTGTTAAGATTATATGTCTGTCTTTGACATCCTCGGACTGTAATCTTGTTTGGTTTTTTGGGCTGTTAAGCCCTATTTAGTATAACAAAAAAAAGAATTTATTGACATTACTTGTCAAATTTTATATTTATGTCACTTAATAATTTTTTATAAAATATTTTAAATAATTTAACTATTATTTTAAAAATTCTGCTAAAGTATATTAATTTTTAAAAAATAATGAAATCAAATTATCAAACATTTTATTGTATTATTTATTTTAATAAATAATATATTTTTAAAATAAAAGCAAATATCACATATTAAACACCATCTTTATAAATGTTCAAAATTACGTGATACACATAATAAAAAATATAGAATGATTTAACGGTGAAAATGATAAATTTTATATTATAAAAATTTATTAAGTGATATAAATATTAAATTTTGTTTATATATATATATATATATAAAAGATTCATTAACACTAGATGTCATTTAATATATATTCTAACCATTTAATTTATTTTAATATTAAGTCTTTCATTTAATGTCTAAATAATACAAGACTTTCGTCCACTTTCCTAAGCACATGAAGAGAGTTCAATCCAAAAAATTAGTCCATTAAAGTCTATGCCTTATTTTGTTTAGGCTTTGCATTTAGTTACTTGAGTTCCTTTCTATGTCATAAATTAAGATAGATGCGTTTTAATTTCAGAATACTCATTGCTGAACAGACTAAGTTCATTTAAGCTGCTACAAAGAGAATCAAGATTCGAAAACTATAATTTTAGTTAAATTCATCAATGAACATTTTTTTTTAAGCATTTGGTATTAGACTATATGTGTCAAACTAAATGATTTTGAATTGTTATGAAACTTTAGAAAATCAATACAAGTCATACATATACATATAATGTAAATATACAACTAAAAAAGTTACATTAAACAATGTTCCTAATAATTCAAAGTTATTTGTTATGATAAAAATGGAAAAGAAAAGTAATAGGAAGAAGAAGTGAAATACACAAATATTAATATGGTTCGGTGAATGTAACCTACGTATACATGTGTGTTAAAGATTTTTAAGAGAAAAGTACATTTTCAAAATTTTAAAGCTCATTAATATAATGATTCAAAACTCACTATAACAACCTATAACTCTCTATTACAACTCGTTAAAACAATCATGGTTGAAATTCAATATTCAACAAAAAAAAAGTTATATACAAATTCAAGACATATGTATAATTTTTCACCTTGATTTAAAATTTTCCAAATTATTTACTATTTTGTCTTTTCATGATTTTGTTTCTACTAACTATAAGACTTGCACCATTTATATTAGAACTAGAGACTTCGTTCTTCAATTCATTAGACTGTATACCATCTTTCGCGTTAACTTTCAATAGATCTCTATCATCTATGATAAAACTAAAGATTCTCCAATTTTGTTCCTTCAATTTTGTTCCTTAACTAAATATAGTCTTTCAAATCATTAACAACTATATTATATTTGTCATACAACATAGTATCAATAAAGTTCTCAAACAATTTTGACAAAAAGCATAATAGGATAATAGTTTAGTCTTCATCATCAATTTTAACCCTGATACCTTAAAGGTCCATGATAATTCAATTACAATTATCAAGATGATCTTTCCTGACACATTGTTAGACATCTCCAAGATATATAGATACTACTTTTGATGCAATTAATTGATTAAAGATTCTTTTATAATCTTTCTTCAAGTTTATTTCACATTCTCAAAGTGTCTTTTCATCAACCACTTCTCGTAGAACCTTCTTCACCATTAAATGCCTCTACCCATCCTAATGCACCAAAATCACATTCATCTTCAATTTCCATAGAGCAAAATCATTCACCTATTGAATTTTTCAATACTGAATTTATGTAAAAATAATACAATTATTAAAACTGGTCCTTGAAAAAGTACACTATTAATACCAATTGCAATGACATAAATGAAAAAAAAAAGTATTAGAAAGAAGAAACGAAACACTCAAATATTAACATAGTTCAGTTAGTGTAACCTATATCTATGGGTAGATTGAGAGATTTCTATTATTATAATGTATGAATACAAAATATAAGATATTACCTGTTGCATAGGAGAAAATTATCTTTTCAGCTTTTTAAAAATCACATATATAATAATTTATAACTCACTGTAACAATTCAAAACTCCCAGTTACAGCTCATTAAAAATAATAAAAATTAAAATTAAAAAAATTATACACAAATTTAAGCATGTCAACCTTATTGAAATTTGAAATTGAAATAAAAATAATGCATTTTGATTGTCCTTCATCATTTCAATTATATATTGACATTTGAAAGTCTAATTAGCAAAATAATTTTTTTTCAACACTAAAATGAAGATGTTTGGTAGGATTCCAAGAAAAACCTGCCAAAGAATGTAATCAGAGCTATCTTCGTCATAAAAAAATAATGATTTAAATAGGTTTTAAAATTTAAATTGAATAAATATTTATTTATAAAATAATTTTTCTTCTATTCATTAATTACAATTATGAAAATAAATAGTTTTTATTATTAAGTGTAGCTATTAACATTTTTTTTTCATAAAATTTTCATTTTTTCATCTAAATACACGAAATGATATTAAATAAATATTATATTAATATAATTTTTTTACGACTTAGAAGGAAAATTTTATATCAAAGTAAAAAAGTATTCAATAGGTATTATATTAATATATTTTCAAAAATTTTCTATTTAATATCTGTAATAAGAATTTTATTTATTAAAAATTATTTTATTATCTATATTTTAAAAAAATAACAGTAAATATAGAAATATACAAATAAATTTAAAAGATAGGCATACAAAAGGTAAAGTAATAATTTTTAAAAAAATTTAAAAATAAAAACTTAGAAAAAAAAATGACATGTGGCATGGGAAGGAGCTTTAATATGTGTTATCTTGTGAATTTTCACACAAGCCTTGTTCATTCACAGTCAAATCTTTTTTAGAGCTGTGTTGTAACCTAATAAAATTGTATATAGTGAGTCAAGTTGTGGAAACTATTCTTTGTCTTTTAACAAGATAATTAGAATCCTGGTGATGCAAGTGTGTTTGCTTATTTATCTTTGCATCATTCACATCTCTCATGCAAATTATCCTATTTAGTTCATATTCTTTCACAATTCATTTAAAACTCACGCGACAGTGGGTAAATGACATTGTCTGAGTCTTTGACCTTGCATCTTTAATTACCGTGATGATCAATGCAGGTTGTGCTATACATTTCAAGGAACCTAGTATTCCATGAATGTACACAAACATATCAAGGTCGATTGTATTTTATTCAGAGTGAAATTCTCCATGGGAGCTTATAACATTTATATATTCCTTCCTACTCGTACACAACTAGCAAGACATCTTTAGCAAAGTTTTGAATCGTCCACCATTTGTTTCAATACTTAGCAAGTTGGGTATCCAAAACTTGTACACACAACAGGGATAATGTGAAATATATTTATGATATTTCAGAATATATTGTAATCATAGTCACTGTAATTACTGTAGTTAATCACAATCACGGTAATTAATCATAGTAATTACACTCAATATCACAATTAGCAGTTTAACACTAAGGGCCTAATATGTAGTAATCTCTATATATGCATCAAGTTTTTCTTATCAAAAGACGAAAGAAAATTCTTTCTTTTATACTTTGTTAATTTGTATTTTTCTTTCTCTTGTTTTATAGTAAAATGCCTTTCAATTCTTGCTCATATATTTTCCCTTTTTTACTTCTCACGCTTTATAAATTCGCATTTATATATTGAACTTAACCTCAATTAAATCCTAGGGGTCCTAAGTTGGAGCTAAGAGTTGAGCTTTTATTCTTGATATTTTATGTAATTTTCAGAGAAAAATATGATAGGGTAATTCTATCTTATATCTCCTTTTCCATACTTCTCATTATTTTAGCCACGTAAATGCAACTTAAAGGACTTAGTTTCATGTTCATTTATGTTTATTCTAGATGAAGAAAAATTCCTTGCCAATTAACATGAATTTGGAATAAGAATATTACCCCTATTTCTAGCACCTTATGCTAACCTTTGGGGGCCAACTGGGAAATATAACTGCATATAAATCCTTTGCTTTTCTCCATCAAAGCCATCTAACAATAACAATATCCTTCAATCATCTAATTTCACGTTAAACATTTAGATCCAAGAATAAAAACAAATCAAAGTTTGAATTTATTACCAAAGTAAACATCTCAATCACTGATGCATAAAGTTAGAGCTTGACACTTTCGTGAAGTGATAAAAGGATACCCACAACACACTCTTGGATTTCAAAAATCACTAAAACTAGTTAAGAATGTGGAGATGAACAATAATGTTACAAGGTTAATTATTTAAACTAAGACAAATTTTTCAATGATGGATTTTGATGACCTTTTTTTTTTTTTTTTTTATGAGACTTGGGTGACTCTAGGTACATGCGTGTATCTCAATTTCAATGATTGTTTGACAGGGTAACAATAAAATTTAACATGTGTATATTTTCACACTCATTTGTATATGAGTAAATTGAATGGCAAAAGAAAGTGACTCAATGAAGATTCCAAACAATAAGATTAATTTTTCAATGAAAAAGATGAACCAATTTTTGTGAACCAGGTTCTTTAAATTTTGCGAAAAAAGAAAAAAAAGAAGAAGATCATGTTACAATGTGTGAGGCTATGTGGGTTGAATGGAGTCTATTATGGGCTGGGGTTTTAGTTGACGGCTCTAGTTTCAAGGAGTCACTAACGATTATTTCATACATACATGATGATGAGATCAAATGATAATAGACGTAAAACTTAGTATAAAGATACATTCACTAAATATTTACCAAAAATAAATTTTATCAAGTAAATTGTCCGAGTTAAAATTCTTATGAAGTGTATTATAGGTTTACAAAATTTCATACTGTTTAAATAATAATTAATAATTCAATTTTTTATAAAGATACATTCACAAAAGATACAGTGAAACAACTTCTTAATAATTGATCATGATCCACGTGTTACTCAATTGTACTTTTGATTTCTATATTTAAATTTATGTATATTTTTAGTTCTTGTAATTTAATTACTTGCATTTAATCCTTTTAATTTTTAATTGTTCAAATTAAATTTTACATTCCAAAATTTATCTTATAATTAACAAAAATATAATGGAAATTTGATATGTTATTAGTTTATATAAATTAATAAATATTTTTTATTTGATTTAATTAATATATATATATATATTAAATTTATAAAAATTAATGATATATTATATGATTATTATATTTTTATTAATTATTGAATCTATAAAATTGTGGTGTGAGTAGGGATAGAAATAAATCAAGCTACCTGGTAGGGCCTCTGGCCTAACCTTTTTAAAGTCTATTTCAATTTAGCCTATTTAATTACTAGACTTAATTTAAGCTTTTTAAAAAGTTTAATTAATTAAATAGATCAGTTTTGAGCTTAAAAAAAATCCTATTAAGCCTATTTAAAATTTATAATAATATATTAAATTAATTAAATTTTAAAATAATAAAATCTTAAATTAAAATTCTAATCTTTTTTGTTAGAGTCAAAGAATGTCTTTACTATATATCTTATAAAAAAGAGAGAGAGAGTCATATTAAATGTTTCAATATGACATACTTATTTACATGATTTAACAACTTATTTATAAATAACTTTAATGGCTTATTGAATGTTTCAATACAAAATAGACAACTAAAAAAAGTTAATATCAAGCTTTTAAAAAGGTTAGACTTAATAAAAAGCCTATAACAGGTAATAGACCAAGTTTAGGCTTCAAAATTATTAAATAGACCGTACTTATTTATGCAAAGCTTAACTTAACTCATCCTATTTTTATTCCTAAATATGAGAGACAAGATTTAAAAATTTAAAAATTTTAAAAGATTAAATATAAGTAATTAAAATTAAAAAAATAAAAATAAAATGACGTATAAACTAAAATATAAGTAAATAGTTATTGTTGTATTATATATACTCAAATGATCTTCATAATGTTTAGATTGATTAAATTTATTTTTAATATATAATAAAAAATTAATTAAGAATCTTGAAATTATGTGAATCTTATTTTTATTTAATAAGTTTTACTTGCACAAATTGTACTACCTATTTAATTGATTTTACTTATTATTTCATAATTTTATAAAAAAATGTATTTAAAAGTGTATGAAATAATATATAGGAAAATTAGAGCAAATCAGAATAAAGAACATTAATAAGAAATTTTTTTATATAGGTAAAAATTATAGAAGATTTATCAACGAATTAAATATTTACATAAAATAAGAATAATCTCAGCAAACAAGTCAACAACATATGCATATTTTGGAAGTATGGAAGGGTCTGGAAAAGGAGGATCAGATGGTGACTCTCCTGAAATACAATCTTCAACATCTGTCAATATAGAAGAAGCAGCCACATTCACGCCTCTATAATCTTTCTTCTTCAACAATTCTTGAGCTGTATCAACATCACCAAGAGCACCCTCATTATAACCAAAATGTACTAAACATGATTGGTAATGCCTTTTGGCCTCTGAATCATTTGCACTTTGAGAGATAAGCTTGTTGATTAATTTGATTGTGTTGGTAACATTAACACTTACCACCTCAATGGTGTATTGGGTAAGGGTATACAAGTTTGCATTAGGCTTTGAGTTAAGAAAAGTAACACAAAATGAAGGATTTTTACTTTGCCTACAAATATCATTCACTTGTTGTGCTGGGATTGCGTACGAAGATACTACAAATAAAAGAAACACTATCACAAGAGAAGAGAAATTGTAACTCATTATCTCTAACTCCTTCTTTGACCTTCTTCTCTATTTTTTATGGTTGGTTTTGATATATTCAACGACAAATGGATCCATTATATAGTTTTGATCAATTGATTAATTTGAAGTAAAAATTTAATTCATTCTCATAAATTAAATTATGTTATGTTTGAATAGCTTGTTTATTTGCAAAAATAGACACTTGCATGTTTGACCACCGTCAAAACAATTATAATCAATGCATATTTATTTAGAGAAGTAAAAAATAATTGTTTACCTATCTTATAAATTAAAGGAATAAAAAAAATAAGTTTTTAGCAAAGGAAAATATTTATTGTATAGAAATAATTTAATATTTTTTCTTTTTATTTTTAAAATATATTTAATATTATTTAATGGTATTCAATGCTCTCATAGAATAAAATATTAAAATACTAATATTGAATTCCATAATAAAAACTTATTTAAATAATTATAAATCCTCTTGTTTTTTTATTTTGATAATTTTTCTTATTTATTAAATAAATAAATTATTTAATAGTTTTATATTTTCAATACAATAAGTGTATCCGTTTTCCTAACGTGTGTAAACGTGTTTAGAGTACACAATAAATTTGATAAATAATAATTTTATTTATAATTACAACATTTTATGATATTAATATATAAATTTTGTAAAATATTATATATATATATATATATATATATTCTTATTTTGTATCCTTGGCGTACATAAAAAAAATATTAATCTTAATCTTTAAAATTGAGGATAATTAATTAATAATAATAAAATTTTATTAAAAATATTTATTATACTTTCATAATTTTAGTAAAATAAATGTATTTTTTAATATTTTTTTATTTTTAAATGATTAAACCCAGTCTTAAAAGTTGAGATTAATAAATTCTTTAAAAAAAATATAAACACATTTTTTTATTTAATATCAACTTTATTTAGTAATAAAAAGTTTGGATAATGGAAAAGGTAATAAGATATAGCAAAACTGAATGTATATTTTTAATGTGTCCAAAGCCATACGCTATAAAAATGTACATTTTTTTTGCAATTTCTTATAAGAAAATCTGTCACAACTCAATATAATTTTTAAAGGTTCGGTGATATGTACAAATTGATTTATCTGTTATGATTAAATTTTATTTTGGTTTAATTACTATTTTTTCCTTTATTTATAGGATTGTTTGATTTTATTTCCTAATTTTTATTTGTGTAATTTTATTTTTCTATTTTTATTTTGTTCCATTAATTTATCATCGAATCGCTAATGAATTTTGTTGAAAACGCATACCTAGCAAACAAAATTCCTAAACTATCCCTCCTCACATCTCATCCTACCACATCTTTCAACAACCGCGAGGCTACTCCAATTAGTATTTTATCGCAGAGACATGCACTTGTAACAATTCATGTCTTCTATATCTATTAGAAATTTTATATTTATAATAACACTTGTATAAATTATTTATATTATTTTATGAATTTAATAAAAATGATCTAATTTAATAGAAAATAATATAGATTTAATAAGTGAAATTGAGTTTAGTTTATTAGAAGATAATGAAAATTTTAAGGGTTTGTTTGGTGTATAAAATTAGAATTAAAATTTAAAATTTTAATTCTAGTTTTATTATAATTGAAGTTGTTTCAAAATTATAATTTAATGTTTGGCCTATTCAAAGAATTAGAATTCTAAGTTGAAATTAAAGTTTACAGGGTAGATGTAAGATTTAAATTTTTAAAAAATAATTTAAAATTTTATTTAATAATTTTTTAAAAATAATTGTGTTAACTAAAAATATAAAAATAATTATTAAATAAATTTTTAAAGATTATATAATCAAATAATAACTAAATATTTTTTTAAAAATTATGACACAGTATATTTATTTTTATGTTTAATTTATCATTCATCTTTAATATTATGTTATGAACTATTTTTCATAAATTAGATGAAAACAAACGAATACTAACAAAAAAAATTTAATTCTCAAAATATATAATTTAAATTAAAAATATCATCCTTAAAACATAAAATAGTACAATTCTTAAAATCTAAAATATAAACTTAAAAGTACACAATATAGGTAAAAATAGATGTAATAACTATTCCACCAAGCACTAGTTTTCTCTTTTTGTACTTTTAAACACTAGGTTAGACCCTTGACTGTCATCCAAGGCCGACTTAAGCTCTCCAAGTATTCCCAAAATGACAAAAAGTTAAAAGTGTAAAAAACTCTAACCCTAATTTCCAAAAATTCATTTATACAGAAGCGGTCATCATCCATAGTAGCTACTATGAAAACGATAGTAACTATGCATAACCTCCCAGTCCTGTCATTCTTCTCTTGAGTTGTCACTATGGCAGGTGATAGTGGCTACGCGCAGCGTGCGTAGCTACTATGGATTTGAAAGTAGCTACGTACAGTATTGTTGCAATTTGGGCTCTCTGAAGTGTCTACTATCATTTCTGAAAGTAATCACTTTGGTCTGCCCTTTGAATCTAGCTTGCTGTAGTGTCCACTATCACTTCAAAAAATGACCACTTTCAACTCAAATTTTCTTAAAGGCTAAAAATTCATGGAATAAGTCTAGAAATTCCTACACAATTATTCAAATAATTAAAATTGTAAATTATATCTATGTAAATCAATGTAAATTAACCAAAAATAAAAAAAACCTATGATAATTGACCTAAATAGAATTTTCATCTTATTTATAATTTCTAAGTTTGCTTTTTTCTATTAAAGAACACTAAAAATACTAGTAAAAATTTAATAAAATATGGATTCATTAGTGTGTAAAGAGCATACAAACCTTTACCCTATTAACCATTGAACATCAACAAACAAATAACAAAGTGTACAAGGGTCATCTATTATTAATTTCATGATATATCAGGAGAATGAATGATAACAAGATATTTACAAAATAAACTAAACAATAAATGAAATAAAAGGAATATACAAACAAGATGATGTGTGAAATAAATATGTAAAATAGTTGAAAATATTGCACAATTAAGCTTCACTCTCAAAAACTCCCTAGTGGAGTTGCCATTTATCGCAACCGAGGACACAACAGGACAACGATGACAGAGAGTCGCCACCAAAGTTTATTAAAGAAAATATTGAAAAAACTTTTAATAGAAATAATCTTTGAAACCCGATTTGGATTCAGGAGTCATTTACACGTAAAGAAGGTGTTAGCACCCTATAATGTCTGTTGATTAAAACAGTTACCTTAATTAATAGTGCAAAAATTATTTTCTTTAAAAATATTTATTTCACTCTAATTCTTACAAATTTTAAAAGGCTTTAATTTTATATTTTTTTATAAAGAAATACAATTAAAATGTTTTAAATTAAAGGAATGAATTATTTATGAAAATGTTTTTTTTTTTGCATTTTTGTATTAAAGAAATATGTTTAAAAAGAATTTATCTTGGTATTTTATAAAAGAAACATATTAATTTCATTTTTCTTATTTTTTAAGAGAAACAAATAAAAATTAATTTGAATTGAGAAATGAATTGTTTATAAAATATTATTCTTTTTTTTATATTTTGTAGTAAAGAAATTTATAACAAAAACTAGCTTGATATCATATTTCTTTAAAGTAAAAATTCATTTTTGTATATTTTTTAAATAAAAAGATAAAAAAATTTAATTTGAATTGGAAGAATGGATTATTAATAAAATATTATTATTTTTTTCATTTTCATATTAAATAAATTTTAATAAAATATAAACTTATTTTTTATTTTCCTTAAAGTAAAAATTCATTTTTATATTTTTTAAATAAAGAAACATAATTAAAAAAATAATTTGAATTGAGAGAAAGGATTATTTATAGAATACTATTTCCTTTTTTTTTTTTGCATTTTTGTATTAAATAAAACTTGACTTGATTTTTTTTATTTTCCATAAATTAAAAGTTCATTTTTTATATTTTCTTAAATTTAAATAAAGAGACATAATTAAAAAAAATTAATTTGAATTGAGAAAAAGGATTATTTATAGAATATTTTTTTTGCATTTTCATATTAAATAAATTTAAGAAAATAAATTTATTTTTAAATTTTCCTTAAATTAAAAATTAGTTTTTATATTTTTTTATTTTTAAATAAAGAAACATAAAAAAAAAATTGAATTGAGAGAGAGAATTAGTTATAGAATATTATTGCCTCTTTTTGCATTTTCGTATCAAATAAATTAAAATAAAATTAAACTTATTTTTTTATTTTCCTTAAAGTAAAAATTATTTTTTATATTTTTTATTTTTAAAAAAGAAAACATAATTAAAAAAATTAATTTGAATTGAGAGAAAAGATTAATTATAGAATATTATTGTTTTCTTTTTTATATTTTTTGAAATTAGAGAAAACAATCTTAAAATATTTTATCTTGATATTTTATTTTATTTTTTTAAATAAACATAACAATTTTGGTTTTTTTTTTAAATTAGGTTTAAGATAAGTTGTAGAAGTTGCAAGGATTTTTTTGAAATTTTTTATTTTTTATTACTATTATTTTTATTGAAACTTTTTTGGAAATGGATTTTGGGTAAGTTGCAAAGATTTTTTTTAAAAATTTAATTTTTACTTTGTTATTATTAAATATACCCTTGCACAGGGTTCAAGTTAGCACAAGCTATTCAATAAACTCTTACGATCCAAACAATGTTGAAGATAGGTCCATCATTCTATTAAAATTGTTTGGGGCAGTTGTGTGGATTTAAAAATATACAAAGGTTTAATTTTTTACATGAAAAGAGGAAATAAAGAATAACACATGAAATAAATGAAAAAGAAAGAACAAACACAAATAAAAGTAACGGGGAAACAACTCTTAATTTAGGGATTATTTTTTGTAATGTTTCCAAAGAAATTATTTTTTTAAAAGATTTGTGAAAAATGATGATTTTCAAGCGTTTAAAAAAAATTAGGGTTTAGGATTTCTCAAAAAGATTTTTTAAAGTAAGAAAAAAAGATTTTTTTTGT